GGGAATAAGGGATACAGCACATGCACCTCATCATTCAGGACGCACATCCTAACTTGAATAATAATATTAAGAGAACCATCTTCCTATTTGTGCGCTACTCTCCTTCCTCTACTCAAGGAAGTAGAGGAAGGAGTAGAAACCAGCCTTTCCAGACCCTTCCACTGAGAACCAGAAGAATCCACACCTGTCCCCCATTCATGAGGCTGTATAAATGGAATAGGAGCAAATTCTTCATCTCCACAGTAACACAAAGTGCAGAGGACAGGCCATGAACTAGCAGACAAGAGGAAGTGGGTCTGAAGACCTGAGCTTCCACAAACAGGCAAGCAATTCAGAACAACTCAGGAAGCCCAGGCCCTGTGTTGCCTGAACTTCCCCATCTGCCCCCACCCCTGTTAAATCAAAGCCAACAGCTACCTGAACTGACAGAGAAGCCAGCTCTGGGAGGGAGCTGAGAGGCTCCGGGCTGTGGCAGTTACAGTAGCCCCCAGGCTCCCTCACCCAGAGGTTGTCACTACAAGGTCTGTCACAGTCAACCCACCCAACAGTTTTCCGGCTGAGACCACTTCTCCCCACTCCTCCCTAAGATCTAGAAAACTCCAGTCTAAATTCCTCTGAACACTATGGAAGGGCACCTTCCAGGTGCCTGAATACACGGCACAGGACTCAGGCTTGCCTGTCATCCTCCCGGGGCCACCAGCACAACACGATCCCACCACTCCCTACAAACACACAATGACATGACCTGTCTCTCTCTAGAAAGGATCAATCCATCCACTCCAACCTTTCCCCTACACGGTGTATTCCCCCAAGCATCTTGGTCCACCTCTAAGGATTCATCCTCCCTAACCACAGACTCAGGGTGCCATGGCCATCCCCAGGTGTGATGTCCTTGGGGACATCCAGTGCTCCCTCCCTCAACATCAGCCCTATTAACTGTCCCCAGGGGCAGTGTCAAATTTGAATTCCCAAGGAGTTGAGGCATGGCAGACTCGGATAATGCCCCCATCCCTACAGGCTCACCTCCATTTGAAGCCATCCCCTCAGGCTGGGCACTGACCACCGCTGTCTGGCAGTTTCCGCAATGAGAAAAGTCAAGGGTAGGACCAAGAGAGTGACCTGGCTCAGCAGATGCTCCTGAGTCCAAGTGGAGCAGGGAAAATTTGAATGTAAATAGGTTTGGAACATAGGCCCCCAGACATTCTGCAGAGGGGGAGGGGCAGTGGGCAGCTGGTAGGGGTGGGGGACATTCTGTGAACGGCTTCAGCCATTAGGCAAGAACCTGAGTTTCCCTTCCAACTGGACGGCAGCAACACAGATGGTGTGCATCTCTTTAGGCAACTTTCAAATTGTCCTGACTCACAGCAAAAGCTAATACCTGATTTCCCCTTTACTTCCATTCTTTATCAACAGACCTCCTTTTGTGCCAATCAAACCATGCTCCTTCCCACTTTGGCTCTTTCCCACTCTTGATGACTTTCAACAGGGGATGCACTTCCTGAACACAATTCAGAACATGTTTTCAGTCTGAAAACACAGGGGTTCTTAGGAAGGCAAGGGGACTGGGTGTTTGAAATCAGAATGGTCTCAGCTGATCCAGGCTATTAGGTGGTTGTGTGCTCATCATTGTTTCAGAAGCAATCCTTGTGCCCCCAGGTCATGTATGTTGCTGGAATCTCTGTCCACACCAGCAGGCCAGCCTTACTTCCCATCCCCTTTGCTGGAAAACCTCAATCCAGGAAAGAGTGGCTATGCGACCTATAGCACCAAGACCAGAAATCCTTTCATTTTGTTTCCCAGCATACTGTGCTGGTGTTAAATATTTATTTTTTGTCTTTTGAATGATTTTAATTTAACCAAGCAATACTTTTGCATGGTTCCAAATTCAAACTGTGCACAGTGGAATAGGCAATGACCAGCCTTCCTCCCCTCTCTTTTCCCTGGCCACCACATTTTCTTTCTTGGAGGAAACAGGTGTTATCTGATTGTTTTTCATCTTTCCAGAGATATATTATGCAATCAAAAGCATAATGAAGCTATTTTTGCTGTCTAAAAATGCTTTCAGGTTTTTTGGGGTAAAAATTAATATATTAGTATGATCCAATGTTTTCTTCATATTTATAATGACTAGTAATGTGGCTCCTCTATTTCTGTAGGTAAATTCCTAGGATAAGACATTGTTCCATTCCTTCAAATCAAAAGAATAGAGTGGCAGGATTTAGCAAGTATGAATAATGAATACCAAGTGGAATTTGAACTCAAGATAAACAGTGAATTAGTTTTTATTATAATTGTGATCCATGTGATATTTAGAGTATACTTTTACAAAAAAAACTGCTTTTCCTTTATCTGTTAGTCACATTTCACTGGGATCTTGCACTTTATCTGGTAACTCTTCCCAAAAAAGTGCAACATATGAAGTGATTATTGTTAACTCTCCACTGTGAGAGTGAGAACTTGCAGTAAGGAGACTCAGGTGTGAATCTTGGCTTCACCACAAAACACAACCATTGCAGAAAACAATAGCGGGCTGATTTGATGAGAGGAAGTCAGGGGTAGCCATTATACCCTTCTCAGCTTCCAGGTTTAGTGGCAGCAAGCACAGTTGTAAGGGACAGGAGGGCAGAACACCATCTTTTTCTTTCCTAACATAAAGCAGCTTACAATTCCTAGAGCTGTGGTTTCTCCAGGAGTTACAAATCCACAACCCATGTTCATTCTAAGACACGCCAGGATGCTATCCACCAATGTCCCATCCCCATTCCCATGCATCCCCTCACATGTGTGAATCCTGGCTGGCCTCTGTCAGCTCACTGTTGGCTTCATCTTCACCATACGTTCTTGCTGTTTGGAATCTAGTGTCATCGCACGTGCTTCTCTGCGTGGGAATTATTGTAGCTGTCTTTAAAAAAACTTCATTCTCATTTTCACACTGAGAATCACTGTCCGTTTATCAGCGTCAAAATGACAGGAAAGAACACTCATGTTCTGTGTTGTGAACAAGGGGAGTGATAGGAAACCGGTCAAAGGAGATGAGGAGTGAGTACTCAGAGCACAGCAACAAAATCTTCGGAGACACACAGTCATTCCCTGCTGGGCGGGGTAATTTTGCACTGATGGGAGGGTGTTGGGGAACGGAACAGGTCTTCAGCCAGACCAGTGCACATTGCTAACATTCACTGAAACACACCCTGTTGGCACTTACGAAGCGTTTACCACTTCTGAAGACATTTGGACTCAAGAAAGGCAGAGTTGCAGGAAAATGTAACAGGGACCACACTGCAGGGGCAGGCGGTGGATTGCAAGTCTCAAGCCCAGGGTTCTCCCCTCCTTGCCCCAGTTGTGTGAGGTCATTCCTAACTCCTGTCCAATATCCTCATGAATTGTTGGTTTTGTCCCAACTCTAAACCTGAATGGTCCAGCAAGCATTTCTATGAAATGCCTCCACAGTGGCCACTGGGAGGGGAGTGACCTCCACACAGTGACTGCCTGTTTGGGTGCTCCCAGGCCTTTTGTCCTCTGAGATAGAACTGTCTTCTTACATGCAGCCCTCTTCTGCTGTGCAACTCTATCTCGATCTTAGCTGAGAAGATCAACGGAGAGCAATTCAAGCAAAATCATGGTAAACTTGACAAAACAAAACAAAACAAACCGTAAATGCTTTGGAGATCTTTCTGAGGACTAGACTTTTTATCATGGGGCAAACTTAAATGATTTTCAATCAATAACTTCATCTAAGAGGGATGTTGAGGCAAAAATATCATACTCAGAATTCTTGGTTGCTTCCTCCCTTGTCAAGTCAGTCAGCGGATGCTTTCTCAAGATTCTTACACATGGCTTTGATACAGGATTTGAATGAGTCTTTTTCTGACCAGTATACAAAAAATATACTGTGGAACAGTGTCTTGTCTCAATTCTGCAATCACTTCTGTGCATGTCTGAAGTCCTAGACCCCAGGAGGAGAGACAATCAAATTAGCCAAAGGTAATTTGTGAAGACTGACCATGGGAGGTGGTGGCTAGATGTCCTCTGGCCGCTGCTCTCTGAGCATGCCCATAGAAAGTCCTGGGCCACACTGACTGCTGAGAAAGAACATCTCAGGGTTGGATCCCCTGTTCAGAGGACACATGCTCTTCCACCCCATCAGGGAACAGTAGAGGAATGGCGGCTCCATGCTGTGTCCTGCCCAGCTCTCAGTCTCTGCACTTGAGGCCCTGGGCCGGCGTAGATGTGAAGGCTCTTCAGTGTTATCACATGGAGACAGATGAAGGAATCCTGCAAATGAGCAGAAAGGATGTGACGATTAAAGTTTCTTCTGAAGCTATTACATGTGACGATTAAAGTTTCTTCTGAAGCTATTACAAACTCAAGTCACTGAGTTGCTTTCCTACTAGTTTTTTATTGCCAACTGGAATTCTGCACTGTGTTGCAGAGTCGGGGGTGGGGGAGTGTGGAATTGTTCCCTTACTACCTGCTGCTCTGTCAACTGAAATTGATCAAAGCTATAACAAAAACATTTCTAGAAATCATTTGAATGCGGTTGGGAAAACTCTGGGAATGGAGTCAAAAGAAGGTATATTTTGGAGTATGTTTTCAGGTCTAAAATTCTTTGCCAGAAATGTTCTTTAATGGAATCTCCAGACTGAGTAGGAAAACAGGGCATACTATTTTTTGAAAGGAATGAGCAGGAATGAAATAAATGCAGTCCAAAGGGAATGCAAAACATGCAAGTTGAGGATACTTTGCTTTAGGACAAACCCTCCAAAGGGAAACCTTTCAGCAAGAGTGTTAACCTAAGTGCATGCAATGCAGGTTTGTATTACTGAAAACTGGGAGTGGCCGTTGCGGACGCGCTGGTTTCTCAGAGGCACTGTCACGGAGGTTCAAACGAGAAGGCCTTGTCTGGCCCCAGGAAGCACCCAGGTGCCTCGTCCCTCCATTTCCCCATCTCCAGCAGGGCGCTCCCAGGGCGGGCTCCAGGCCTGCCCCATGCGCCTGCGCACGAGCCTTGAGGCAGGCGGGGTTCCAGCGCGCCGAGGCCGCCCTCAACCGCTCAGAGCGTCTGTTGCTGGCGGTTCATGGCGGGGAGACTAGCAGCGCGAGAGCAAAGGGCGGTTACCAACGGCCTTCGCTCTCATGGCGTCCTTCTTGGTGTTACCTAAAAATAAAGCCAAGTGTGATTAGAAGGTAATCGCCTCCTGGTCATGCTCCCACTGGTCACCAGTGTCCGCGGGGCGACCCCACATTGTGGCCAGAGCAGGCCTGTGGGGGCGCTCAAGGCGGGCGCGTTCATAGCTTTCCTAGGGGGAGCCCTGCGGGACGCCCAGGCCTTGCTCTTTTCCTTGCTAGCCTGGCCCTGAAGTGAGGGAGGAGGGTTTAACAATGCAGTGGGAACCCCAAAGTGTGTCTCCGCCGTGCCTCTCCTATTCCAAACAATGCAGAAGCTTGAGGAAAACCTCAGCAGTTGAAACCGTGATGCAGTTCAGCGAAGAAGTAGTTCCTGTCCTCGTAAAATCAGTGAAGTTCTCACGAATGACCTCACTGAGTAAGTTGTGAAGCTTGTTGACTTGATCAGAATGATCAGCCAGCATGCGTGTTCTAATACACTCATTTGTCAATGATGTGAAGAGCTGCGAAGTGGAAGAACAGGCCATTAGTCATAGTCTGTTCACTTAGTAGCACAAGTTGTTTGTGGATGCAAGAGTGTGGCCAAAGTCAAGAAAAGCTTCTATACGAATCGCTTGCTTATGTGGAATTTACAAATAAAAAGTAGTGGTATATTATTTGTAAATTGTAGGCTACACATGTATCTAAAATTTACTGCACACACGTGTGTATCTTGGGTGGTTGGGTTAGTGTGTACTTGAGAATGTCAGGAAGATTTATTTTGGATTTTGGAGGGTGTGAGATTTGTGGGGGTGGTTTTGTGTATGTGAAAATGTGTTTATATGAATTCTTAGTTTGGAATTTGATATGTATTTAATTGGCGAGAATCTAATATGTATTCACACGTGTGGGTTGGTGGTGTCTGTCTGGAGATTGCAGATTAAAGGTCATAACTGGGCCAGGCGCGGTGGCTCACGCCTGTAATCCCAGCACTTTGGGAGGCTGAGGTGGGCGGATCACCTGAGGTCAGAAGTTGGAGACTAGCCTGGCCAACATGGTGAAACCCCGTCTCTACTAAAAATAGAAAAATTAGCTGGGTGCGGTGGCGCATGCCCAGCTACTTGGGAGGCTGAGGCAGAAGAATCACTTGAACCCAAGAGGCGGAGGTTGCAGTGAGCCCAGATCGTGCCACTGCACTCCAGCCTGGGCGACAGAGTGAGACTCCATTCCCCGCCCCCCAAAAAAGAAGGTCATAACTGTTTTTGTGAGAGTCTGTAGGAGTGAGAGTTTATATTTGGAGGATATGAGATGTGAGATATGTATACCAGAAGAATTGGGGTTAGATACTTGTGATTTGGGTTTTGAAGATGTATTTTGCACGTGTTTTCTCAGATGAATGTTGGGGATTTGTATTTGTCTAATGTATGGCAGATTTGGAAGAATTATCTTGTGCACATGGGCAATAATAAAGTGCTTGTGTCTGTTTTTGTGGATGTACACTCTGGTTTACGTATTTGGGAAATGTCGGAAGGACCAGAGTGTACGTTTTGTGGATGTACACTCTGGTTTATGTATTTGGGAAATGTAGGAAGTACTCAGGACATGTTGCATGGTGATGCGTGTTTCTTTTTATGATTTTCAGGGGGTGTGTATGTCTATTTCAATGTGTGAGGGCAGTTCCATGTCTACTGGGGGACTGGTAGGATGAATGTGTGCAGTTGTGAGGTGGATTTTGTATGATTCTGTGTCTTGGAAGATGGAGTTATTTCTGTGTGAGCATTTGGAAGTATGATTACATATGTGCCGGTATTGTGGAACTGTATGTGTATTTGAGGATATGAGGTGGCATGTTTGCATATTTGTGGCGTGTTAGTTAATCGTGGGTATATTTAGGGCATGTAGAGAACTACATAAGTATTGAGTTTGTGTGTGTGTTCAAGGGCATGGCAGTTTAGATGAATGCTTTGTGGAGCTATGTGCTTGTATTTTTCAGTAAGTGGTTATTAGGGTTGTATATTCTGGGAATTTAGTATGTGTGTGTCTGATAGAGGGATGGGGTTCTCTTTTTATACCGGAGAGTGAGAGAGTTGAATTTATATCTATTAGAGGTGTGTGATATGGTTATTGGTTAGTACTTGGCAATGTGGGAGCTGGTTCATACTAGATTGGGATAATTTGGGGTTGGGAAGTGTTTTTATGGGTATTCATAAATGATATGCTGGAGATATTTCTGTGCATCTTGGGTGTGTATACTGGTTTGTGTGTATATTTATCAGCAGAGAGATGAATTATCTAAGTCTATTTATAGAATATGGGATGGTTAGTATTTAAAGTGTATTTCTTTGGAGAATGCTAGGGTGTTCGTACATGTGTTTGGGCATGTTTGGGGGGATGAAGTGAGGAGGTTGTATTCCAGAGATGTAGCATATTGATTGGATAGTGTTTTGGGGGATTTACACATTCAGGGATTGGGGATATTTGCGTGAGTGTGTATGTGCCCACGAGTATATGAAAGTTGTGTGTGTATATGAGAGTTTTATTGGTGTTTTTGTGGGGTTTTTTGGTGTTGTATGGGTTTTATCTGGGAGGGTGGGGTGTGTATTCATGGGTAGTTTGTGAGTGTGTATATGAGGGGTTTTGGGTATATTCAGACTTAGTGGTGCTCTGTGTCTGTTGTGAAATGTAATACTCGCAGAATTTGGTGTTGCCACTCGTATATGTGTTCTCAGTGTTTGTGAGGTGGACTTATATGTATTTGATAAAACTAGTTTGTGGTTCTGTGTGTATTTGAGTTTATGGGGCTTCTGTATTTTGTACTGTGGGAGATGTGGGAGGTTCAGTGCATGTACTTGGAAACAGAGAGGCTGTGTAGGTTGTGTTTGCATTCAAGAATCATGGATTTCTGTATTTTAGAGCCGTGGGATTGTATGTGATTCTTTTTCTGGGTGATGCCTGACAAAAGTGTTGTATACCTTGTGATTTTTTTTAGATCCTATGCTTATAGGATTTTCATTATGTACATTATGTACTGTTAACAAATATACTGAAAAGGATTTTCTTAAAAGAAAAAAATAGAAATTTGATTCCAGTGAGCTGTTTGTAAATCAAGGAGTCCCAGCCTTCAGTGCAAAACAAAGGTACACTCTGAAAGAACAAAGAGAGCTATTATCTTTTATAGAGAAAGTTCGTCCTCAGATCCCAATCTGGTTCACTCTGCAAATGAGGGATACAAGTTGTTTATTTCTGATTGGCTGATGTAAGTCACAATCTTATTTCTTAAGTCCATATGACGAAATGGTACCCCTTGATTCAGGTGGCATAAACAGGAACAGACAGCTGTGAAAGTCCCAAAGTGACACAAGTACATGCTTTTTGCAGGAAGCAGGGTACATGTGTGAGACCTGCAGTTAGCAAATGGCTGTTTGGCTCCATTTTGAGTTTAGGCCCAGTTAGCCACTCATGATCCATCTTGAAGGATTAGCCCTTTCAGGGTTCACAGTATATATGGGTACTGTGTTCATTGTACATATTTGTATTTGGGCACATATATATGTACATACATGGTTTTAGCAGTGATGTGAGCATTTGGGGCGGGTAGAGTTTTGTCTACAAATTTGCGTAGTTATTGGGCAGTCCATCTACTGTACCATGTAGTTAGGGTACAGGTACAGGTAGCAGTTGTGTTGCTGGTGGGCTGGTTCAGGTTCTTGACTTTGCTGCACAAAAGAAGTCTTACTTTGAGAGCGAGTCCAACATAAAAGTAAGCAAGAGAGGTTACTGCAAAGCGAACATACACTCTGACAGCCGATCAGAGTGTGCTGCTCAAAGGTGAGACAGCATTGACTGATGCTGGGGAAACCTCCTTTTTGGGAGCCTTACATAACTATTCATGAAGGGGTGGGAAGGGATGTCACTGTTAAGCACGCTCTGGGTGGTTTTCTGGATGCGCATGCGTTATTGCTGCACACGTTAGTGCCTATATCACGTGAATCATTAACATCTTAAATCTCTACCCAAGGGTGTGTTTTTCACTGTTATAATGAGCATCGGTCAAGCCAGGGACACTAATCATGGGTTTTCACACTTGTGCGAATTTGGGGATTTTCCTTCTTCTTTTCCAACTCCTTACTCAGGACCTCCTTGTGCACTGTCAGATGGTTTGTTCTCTTCATATGTTTAGTAAGTTTGTTCTTCTTTAATGGAGGCTATGACCACCCTATCCTATCTTAGTTGTGTGTGTCTGTTCAGGATACATGAGGAGGTTGTGTTCCGGAGGTACGTAGTTTGGCGGTTTTGTTTGTATATTTGGGGTGAGAGTTGAGGCTCCTACTCAGGGTGCAGGTAGATTGTGTACAGTATTCCTATGAAAGGCGTGGCTGTGCTGGAGCTGGCTTTTGCTAGCTTGGGGTAGCCACTGGGCACGGCACATCTCTTTTCAGCTCTGTGTTCAGTGGCATTAGGTTGGTAGTTTAAAATTAGTCATGCTGAGATATTTACACCACATAAGCAGCACAAATCTAGGCTTTCCGATTTCCCCCTGGAGAGCATTTTATTAAGCAGTTAGCAACACACCACTGGGGTGTGTGTGTGTGTTTAGGATCTGTAAGCAGATGTTTGTATGAAGCAAGAATCTTGAGGCTTTAATGGGTGTGTATACTGGGGATTCTATGTGTAGAATGACAAGGGTGGGTCATTCTGCATCACTGTGTTACTCCTAAATACTTGATTCATTCTTTAGGGCCAAAGAATCCTTATATATGGTGGTTTCTGGCTCTTCCTCCTGCAGATGGATGCAGGGGTACCTGCAGCTTAGGCAGGTGGTTGCTCCTTCAGTATCTGTATGTTCCTAGCATCTGGATCCTCAGATGGGTGGGCCTGGTAGACAGAACACTGTGCAGAGCAGAACTTTCCCAGATATTGTCCATGTGATGGGCACAGTCAGAAAGATGTGGGGTTTCCAGGGCAGGAGGTCAGATGTGCCATGTGTTCTCTCAGTCCTGATGTCCCTGCTGATTCCTCTGGGGCATGGCGAGTGACGAGGACACCCTCTAACATAGGTTCCACAAGATGAAAGCCTGCAGAACCTGTGCCTGCACTGCCATCTGCCCCCTGGGTGGGGATACTGTTGGGTGTCAGGCTGAGAGCTGGGCCACCAGTTCTCAACCAACCTGTCCCCATGGAAACCTGAGGCTTCGGGGCTAAGGCAGGACCTCCAGCAGGTACCCAATGTTGAGAATACGTGTTGGTTTCTGTGTTAGGAGTTTTGTCTCAGTGGAGTCATGGTAAAAAGAGGGAATCCAAGGCATGTGACATTTTCTTCTTTCTCCGGTGAAGTGAGGAATGAATGTTGACCATTTCTTTCTGAAGTTCCCTACAGAAAACGTATACTCAGCCTGAGGAGCCCAAGGTGACTCCTTATCTGCTCTTGGAGAAGGTGTCATCTAGAGTCTTGACAAGGAGTCTTCAGGCACAAGGACCTGAATCTGATTTCTTGTGGAAGGCATTGGGCAGAGCTTGACAGTCCTACCTAGAATGGGGCTATAATTCTAGGGATAAAGTGGAGGAGCAACAAGTGGTGGGGAGCACACCTTTAGAACCTGGGCCTGGAGTGGGCAGGCCAAGGAAGCCTGAGTTTACATGGGCTTAGGTCCTGGGCCAGAAGCCAGTCACAGAGCCTGGGCAGCCAGATTCGCTCCAGCCTGGGTTGTGGGTGGGGGTGAGCCTCCTCTTGTGCTCCTGTCTGGGGCACTCCTGAGCTGCAGGCAGAGGTCTTAGTTGCAACTCGGCAGGGATGTACAGCCGGGCCTGGTGTTAAGGAGTGAAGAGGGTAGAGTCAAGGAGAGGAGGCTCTGATCTGTGTCCCTTCAGCAATCTGGAGCATGATGTTAGATCCTGTTAGCACAGCCTCCCACTCACATCTCCTGGATCCTCTGTCACCGGGAGGCTCAGGACCCCAAGAGAGAATGGATTCGGTTCCTCCTGATGTGTTCATCTGGTTCTGGGTCCCCACTCTCTGAGCACACTGGGTGCTGGCCCTGCAGATGTGGGAGAAGCCTGGCAGGGCTGGGGTCAGTGAAGTGACACAGGCAGAGCTGGGCAGGTTCTGTCCTGAGGAGTACTGGGAGCTGGGGTCTGGAGACACAGGGAAGCCCCCCTGAGAAAATGTGGCTCTAATGTTTCTGAGAACCCTGTGGATGGGTTCTCCTTTCTTTCCAAAGGCTCAGGATGCCCCTGGAGTGGCAATCACGTCTCAGCTTCTTCTTTCTTTTCTTTTCCTTTTTTTTTTCTGAGACAGAGTCTCCCTCGTTGCCCGGGCTGGAGTGCAGTGGCATGATCTCGGCTCACTGCGACCTCCTGGGTTCTAAGCAATTCTCCTGCCTCAGCCTCCAGAGTAGCTGGGATTACAGGCATGCACCACCATGCCCAGCTAATTTTGTATTTTTGGTAAAGACAGGGTTTTGCCATGTTGGCCAGGCTGGTCTCAGACTCCTGACCTCAGGTGATCCACCCGCCTCGGTCTCCCAAAGTGCTGGGATTACAGGCGTGAGCCACTACACCTGGCCAGCTTCATGTTTCTGAATGGGTGACCCAACCTTCCGTATTTTCTTTATTGCACATGGGGCCACAAGCCCAGCAGAGGGGACCACAAGCCCAGCAGAGGGAGCCACGTGATGGAGGTGTCCACCTGCTGACCCCACAGCCACCAGCTCCTCCCTCAGACTCACCCAAGGATTTGTGGGCCTTGCTCCTTACCGGGAGTTGCCTTCTGGCCTTTTCTTCCTCATGGTGAATCCTCCTGCCAATAAAATGTGCCAACATCACTTCCTTTAATGTTTTAATAGCCTCTTTCCTGTGGTACAAATGGATTCCTGGTGGCTCTCGCTGCCCCCTCATGTCCTACCCGAACATAATGAGGGTATGTTGTACTAGTTGTGTTGTGTTTCATTGGCAGAATGGAGCTCTGTCTGCTTTTATAATATATGTCTTAAATAAAAATGCACTGCAGTGTATACCGGGTAGATCTTGGATTTCTTTGTTTTGAAATAGGAAGTCATGGATCCTGAGTTTCAGGGCAGAAGTACATGTGTCTCTTGGTCTTGAATCAGCACAGAAAATCTCCCTTGCAGGTTGCATGAATGAAAATTGCTAGATTCGCTGAGGTCAGCCTGAGCCATTTGTTCTGGGCTCAATATTTTTGAAGAGTGTATGTCATGAAACATATCCTGCACCCACCCCCTTCTCTGTATGAGAAGAAGATTTCCTCAACTGTGTGCTGTGTGGCCCCTCTGTGCAGCTCCTTAGAAGCCCCTGACTGTTCTGTTTCCCAGGAGCTTATAGGAAAAAGGATCTGTTCCCATCTCAGTCCTCACTGGGCCCTGGTGCTCTATAGTGACACAGTAGTGAGTCTGAGGACACTCAGAAGTAAACAGTGAGGCCACTGAGGAACTGCCCCTTCAAAGGAGGCTGTTCTGATGCCCACTGCAGGAGTCTGGGATCAAAGGAAGGAGACTCAGCAGGCAAGACCAGGGAAGGCAGAATGGGCCAGCCAGGCGAACACTAGGAACAGAGCAGAGAGAGCTGGGGGTCGGGAATGGAGTGGGAGGCAGGCTCTGATTGCACAGAGAGGTGGAGGGGGCATGTCATGGCATGTGAAGTCCCCCTACCCACAACACAAGAGTCCCCAGCCTCTCCTTCCTTTCCCAGACTCGTTTCCTGGGGCTGTAAGTAGGGAACACTGGGGGAATGTCAGCTTGGGGCTCAGTGGTCTAGGTCCTTCTTGCAGATCAAACCTTTATTGAAGCATCCTTTGAGTAATAAGTATATCCATGGTGTCTGCAGGTTAGAATTGGGATATTTAAGGAGCCCAGGGCCTTCTCTTGGGAGTCACCCCAGGTTCCTAAAGAGAGGTGGAGGCAGATGTAGCTGGAGGTGTCCCAGGAGGGACAAGCCTAGGCCCAGCATGGGAAGCAGGCAGTGGGAGATGTGGTGTTCTCCCAGCAAGGAGACAGCTGCTGTGTTGACAGTGGACACTGGAAAGGGCTGTGGTTGGGTGATCCTCCCCCATGAGGACCCCTTACTGTTGGGGACCCTCATTGCCAGAAGATGTAACTGAAATGTCACTTCCCGTATGAAATGCCTTCTCTGCACTCAGCACTCCCACAGTGGCAGGGAAGTTTCTCAAGGGGCAACCATGGTCAGGTCAAGGGTACAGGCTCTGGAACCAGACTGCTGGCTCAAATCCCAGAAGCCCCAGTGTATACCTGACCTTTGTGACCTTGGGCAAGTATTTTAACCTCTCTGAGCCTCAACTTACTTATCTGTAAAATGGAGATAATAGTGCTAACTCCACAGGGTTATAAAGCTTGGCATTCATACATGTAAAGTGCTTGGAGCAGTGAATGCTATACTGTAGGTGCATATGGCATAACTGTTAGCTAATGTGATTACTAGTCCATACGGAACATAACTTCCCATTTCCCTAGTATAGGCCCCCTCTCATCCACACTCAGAGCCTCCTCTTCGGATGGCCCCAGGGGAATACGGGCTCCTTACTCTTCCCCCTAAATCCCCAACTTGAAGCTCTGTCTCACAGCAAAATTAATGCTGGAAACGTCTGCTCCTATAGGACTGAAACCTCAGACACAGGGAGCTGGCCTATTCACCTTAGAATCCTCTGGGGCACCCACTACAGTGTCTGCAGCAAGGAGTCAATAAAGAACCGGGGAACAGACTGGAGCAGAAGGACCACCCAGCAGAGCCAAGCCAAATCACTGACCCTCAGAGACCTGATGTGAATGCTTATGGTTTCAGTCCACTGGATTCTGCAGTAATCTGCCGATCTGCAATATTACCACAGTAAATAATGGATAGACCTGAAAATGAACGTGTACCTCATGCCAAAATTGCAGATACCCTGTGAGCAGGAAACCTCAGCAGTAGAAACAATTTTATATGAGGGAATGTACTCTCTCCTTTGCATTTTTCCTCAAATCTGTATTTTTAGTCCCTCACTTGTCTCTACAGAGACAAGTCTCTACAGAGACAAGTGAGTTGCTTAATCTAATTGCTGACTGTACATCTCCAGGAAACTGTGTGTATGTGTTTATATTCATAGTATATGTATTTATTATCTGTTTACTTCCATGGGATGTAGTCTCCCTAAGAGAGTAGTCATGATTGTATTTGTTGATGCTTAATAGGTTGTATTTGTTGATGCTTAACAAGTAATCATTGAATGGGCTGGGCGCGATGGCTCACACCTGTAATCCCAGCACTTTGGGAGGCTGAGGCAGGCAGATCATGAGATCGGGAGATCGAGACCATCCTGGCCAACATGGTGACCTGTCTCTACTAAAAATACAAGAAAATTAGCTGGGTGTGGTGGAGTGTGCCTGTAATCCCAGCTACTCTGGAGGCTGACGCTGGAGAATCACTTGAACCTGAGAGGTGGAGGTTGCAGTGAGCCAAGATTGCGCCATTGCACTCTAGCCTGGTGACAGAGCGAGACTCTATCTCGCTCTTATTTAATATAAAATAAAATAATCATTGAATGAAGGAATCAAAGAATGTGGTCCCAGGTTGGGCACCCTTAGTTCAGTCCCTGAGAGTTTATGAGTATAATGTTTTGCCTTTTAACCTAAGTGAAAGAAGGGAGCATAGTTGCATTGAAGAAGTTAAACTATGCCTCGGGACCCCAAGCAGTCTCACCTGACCCCATATGCTGCTGTGGGACTAAAATGTCTCAATAGAACTGTCCTTAGTCAGCCACTTTACACCTGCTTCGATTAGCCACTGGATATGAAGCTTCCCCAGAAAGAGGAGAGAACGCAGCATGGGTGTTCTCCATAGCTGAAGCAACCCTGGGAGGGCCTGAGTCTATCTTCCAACAGCATTCCCAACAATTGGTGAAACAAGTCATTCATCAAGGAGGGATCTAGGTGGCTGATGTCCGCATCCACCACAGTCTGCCTCTGTTCAGCTTGAATCCATTTCTTCATTTGTAGTCTGAGGGTGGAAAACAAATGCGTGTGTCTGTGTGTTCAGGACTGTAGGAGGTGGAGGTCTGTATGTTTAGGGTAGTGTGTCTGTGCATACAAAGTTGGACTTTGTATGTATGAATTTAGGGAGTGTGAGTGGCTGTGTATATATTACGGGGTAAAGCCACCACATATGTTTGTGGTAGAGTTGGAGTTTTGTGTATAATGTGAGGATTCATTTGGATTATATGTGTTCTAAACTGTGGGTAGTTTATGTGGATATTCAGAGTATGGATAGGGAGCATGTACATGTATTTGAAGGAGGGTAAGGTTATGTGAAGTATGTGTTGAATTCTGGTGGGATGAGGGATGTGTGAATTCATAGCTTGTGCAGGTTTTATGCAGCTGGCCTGAGAAGGCTGGAGTGTCTACTATATGCATTTGGAGATTGGGAGTTGGTGTGTCTGTGCATTTATTTGGATCATGGAAGGTTGTAGATGTGTATTTCTAACTGTAGATATTGAGGACGCATATTTGGGGAGTTTTGAGAGGATGTGTGTGTGTGCATGTGCGTGCGCACGCGTGTGTATGTGTGCACGTGCAGTGTGGTGTTTCTCTATGTTTTGGTGGGTCATCCATCAGAATATCCCAGATTATCTGATGTAACAAACAAATAATTCTGCATCTCACTGACTTCCAACAACATAGGTTTCTCATGTATGTTACGTGTCCTCCATTGGTTGGCTTTGATCAGTTACTGGTCCTCTGCCTTGGATCCAGATGGATGGAGCAGCCTCATTTGGGACAGAACTAGAAGGATTTCTTCTGCTCAGAGTCATACATGGCATTTCTGCTCACATTTCATTTGCCATAACAAGTCATGTGGCCTTACTTGAGTTAAATCGACTAGGGATATATAATCTCTCAGAGACACCACAGAGAAGGACCATGAATTGTCTTCATAGTGATACATCTGCCCTATTGTGTTCAGAACATGTTCCATTGCTGTGTTTATATTTTACTAAGGAGTATGGGGAGTTGATGAGGGAGGGTGTTTAGGTGTGTGAAGGCTGCTGTGTGACAAGGGAGGCATTGGCTGGTGTGGGATGTTTTTATACTAACACATTTTGGGGATTTGTATCTGTTTTGGGTATTTGTATTCTGTGTCATGTGTATGTGTTATGTATCTAAGACACATATGTAGGTAGGTTAAGTAGGTTAAATATTCAGTGGTGTTGGAAATGTGTTTTTAGGGGAATAAAGGTGAGTTTTTAGTATATTACAGAAGCATAGTGGGTTTTGGGTTTATTCTCAGGGTACTGGATAGTTATATGTTTCTATTTGAATGGTGTGTGTGTATGTGTGTGTGTGTGTATATTTGTGTGCTGGGGGTGGTTCTGTGTATTTTGACGGTACTGTGAGATATTGTGAATGTGTGTACATACATTTGAAAAGGAAGGTAATGTTCTATGTTTTAATGCTTTGTGTGTTGGATTTGTGTGTATTCAGAGCAGAGGAGTTTTATCTATGCTCACGGTGTCTAGATGAGAATTTAGGTGTACATTTTTGGTGTGAAGAATTTGGAGGCAGAGAGATGGCTGGGTGTATTTGGGTGTTATAACTATATGTATATAACCTGAGGATATGGACAGAATATTTAGAGTTTTCAAGATGGAGGCTTGTGTATGTTTGTATTTGGGAGTACACGGCCATGTGCGTATTTGGATCTGTGAGTATATTGTGAGTGTGTTATGCAGGCATCTGCATGTTTGAGTTTGTGTAATCTGAAGAGTGTGAATTTATTCAGGAAATGTGGTGGCTGTGTGTCCATTGTAGAGCTGTGAGTGTGTGGTCTGTGCTTCTACCAGGGGAATATAGGATAATTTCCTCTTTTTTTCTATTTTATAACATTTTATGTAACTCATAAACAGTTTGTATCAAAATTCACACAAAGTTGCTAGAGAGCATACGATTTCCAAAAATGTCCTGGGTTTTTAATTACATTAAGGTTTTCTAAGGATGCACTCAAATCAATGGTAAAATGCAGACAATATGTGATATTTCATTATTTTTAGCAAAACTATTCTCACTACTTTGTCTCCTCACAGTATTAACTCTGATACCCACTTTGTACAGGATTTGCTAGTACTAGGATGTCACAAAACCACTAAGCTTGGATCTACAGAGGCAAATATTTCCAAACAGCAGTAATAGCCCCTTGGCCTCCACCCCCACTTCATATATCCATACAGTCTGTCTGCACAGTCAGGCAGGGCGCAAGCTCATGACCTCCACTTGGGAGTCTCAAGATCCCCTTTTGATTGGGCAAGAAGCAAACATTTGGGGGGAATGTTGGAAACTGAGGCCATCTTACAGGAACCCACGTGGTCAGGCCAGCAACTACCAATTAAACGGCCAGTCCGCTCACCACTAAGTAGATCCCACTGGTTGATGATTGCTACTGATGTGGTCCTCCCTCTCCAACAACAAACATAAAAGAAAAGGAAGGTTTGGAGCCAACAATGAAGGGGGAGGGGCGCACTAGTACAAATGACACCAGACACGACTTTATTCCCTGTCAAACATTTGTCGTCATGTAGACACAGCCAAGGTGAACTGAAGCAGGGTGTGAACACTCTGTACATTCATGACTATCTTCATTCTTTAAAACCTTACTAACAGGGAAACCAATGAACTTACCACCTACTGTGACTTACTAGTTCACTCAACATCAAAACGTGTCTGTGCTAATTTTTTAGTCTGGGATACAAGACAAAAAAAAAAAAAAATCCAAAAGACAAACAAGTAAAAACCAAAGAATTTAGATGGGGGAAGGAAAGGGATTGTGAGCAGATTTCATGGAATACATTAAATTTTGAAAAATCAGTATTTTGTAGTTCTATTGCTTTGTGCAAAAAGTTTAAAATAAAAAAAATGCCCACTGGAGCTACCCATATGGATGGAGAAGTGAGGACATGATATAGACAGGGCACAGGACTTGCAAGCGTTTCCTGACGACAGTCCAGAGGGACAGGAATAGTTCCCAGGATGTGTCAATTTCTCTTCACAGAAAGGGGCTGTAAGATTTGGGGGGGAAAAGCCCTACACGTGAAGGATGTTAAGAAAATCATTGAAATATGGTTTCCAAAAACTGAGCATGCTCTAAGTTACAGACAGACATACTTAATTCTGAGAACTTGTTGAACTTCTCTGACATGGGTAGATGGGAATTTCAAAAAAGTTACTAATAAATGATTGTGCTTCTAAAGTTGCAGGGTCAACATTTCATCCTCTAGAAAGCAGGGCAATTCATGGCTTGGAGTCTTCTTGTTTACATCCTAGAAACCAGAACAAATTTCATGGGACCCCTCACCGCGAACAACCAGCAGGGAAGGTGGAGAGAGGGCCACAGCTGTCTTTGGTAGGGCGCCTGTGTGTGCCTGCTGTGTGCATGTGCTGGAGAGACTAAGCATAGAGAAGGGCCCAAGCGATGAGGGAAAGTGAGTCTCCTGGCTGCTCCAGTCCCTTCTTTCCAGGCACAAAGAAGTTGAACTTGTTTTTCATGTAGGCCCCGTTCATCTCACTTCAGCTTTTAGTAACAGTGTGTATGTGCATGAGTAGCTGTGTGTGACAGAGTAAGTCCCTGTGCCTTTCTAGATTTCAGTAATTCAGGTTTGCGGTTTCAAGAGAAATAATCTGTAAATGACACAAGAACAAATTTATAAGTTAGATTAGCAACTTTACGTTGCTTAAAATCTGATGTTATATTTTTAAAACTGCCCCTGGGTACAGGCAAAATTATATGGCCACTGGAACTGAAGTCCTTACCAGCTGTATGAGGAATATTCAGATTGTTTCTGTTATCTCTGCATTTTAAAGTAGCAAAATACTAAGCCATTAGGTTATTGAACCTGTAATATTCCCACAGGGGTTTTATGTCTACCCCTTGTGATTCAGTTAATTTTCCTGGACTCTGGTTAGACTGCTTCCTTTCCCTCTTAGGCATTTGGACCCCAAAGGTAGGTAGGTAAAAGTGTCATTTTTAAAGATTTTACCTGTTGGGGAATTTCCTGGTTGGTGCTCCTGGAAAGCGTGCAGCTGGCCTGCAGGAGTCTGACATTTCCAGTCAGTGGGGAGAGAAGACTTGTGTCTCCCAAAGCCCAGGGGTGGCCAGGTGTAGGACAGCAGAACTTTCTAGGGGGTCC